AGAGAGAGAGAGAGAGAAAAGAAGAAGAAGAAGAAGAAGAAGAAGAAGAAGAAGAAGAAGAAGAAGAAGAAGAAGAAGAAGAAGAAGAAGAAGAGCTTAATGCTTTAATCCTAGGTAAACAAAGGATTATTTGCATCATTATTTCTCTATACTTAGAAATTTACCATTCTGTGATATAAATTAACAGACTTACCTTAATAAAATTCAAGATTCTGTTCTGAATGTCCAGCGGCAAGGTGTATCTGGGATTCAGCAGCTTAACTAGAGTATCTTTAATGAACTCCTTCTTCACAATCAGAGACTGGAAACTCGGACCACAGTTCTGCATGCACATGTCAATCAGCTGAATTAAAGAGCAAAGTCCAATGTTACAGCTCTCTGGAAGAATCACTTGTGAATTTAAGACCAAACAAATGTTATCAAAGGATGACTTCTGCTAGCGTTCTAATTAATAAACACTTGTCTGCTTCTTATACTACTAAACTATATGGTGAAATGTTAGGTTCAAATATTATGAGGAAGAAGAAGCAGAATGAAACTACCCAGAGGCTAGAACTGATGAGGAGTCAGGATACAAACAGAGCACTCAGCAGCCGATGCCACGTGCTAAATGCAACATCAAGCAAAACATACATGCTATGCTAGATGATGTAACATTTGCTGCAGGTTATCTAGGGTCAGCCTGGTACCTCCTGGTGTCCCGGCTCTGTTAACAATGACACACCCTTTCACTCTTAAATGTTGTGGTTTGGAAAATAAATTGCAGCCTGTCTAGCAATAGACCTTGATAGGCAAGTGTGATTATTGAGAGTCAGGTGAATGTGTGTGAGTTGTAGATAAGGCTGGTGCCAAGCTGGGCACTGAAAAATGACCAAGGAAAACAGAAAGGAATATATAGCTGTATTGTTGATGGATGATGCTGCTCTAGTTTGCATCTGGAATGCTCCACAGGCCCCTATGTTAAAATCTTGCTGCTATTTGCAGGTAGCAGAAACTTTAAAAATGGTGCTAGTGGGATGTTCTGGGTTGTGGCGGGGATAGCCTCAAAGGGGACTGTGGAACTATGATCTCTGTCTTTCTTTCTAACCTTCATGCTATAAGATGAGTGCTTTAACTCTACCACAAACCTCTACCATGGCATGCAGCCTAGCCACAGGCCACCTGATCATAAATGTCTGAAACCACAAGCCACACTGAACCTTCCTTAAAAGCTACCTTAGGTAGATAGTACTTCCAGAGATTCCTGGAAAGATAACTAATGCAAATCATGTGGAAAAAACATAAAGGTGTCAACATGTATGAATTGTCACATGGGAGATTTGTACTCTGCTTTGTCTCTCATAGTGGCTTCTTGATGTACGCAAATTGAAAACACTGGAAGGGTACCACAGACAAAGTCTGTGAGGGCATTGTCTAGACTGTACAGATATCGGTCTGGCAGGATAGAGTCGAGACATTATTCAGGAGTCCCTGAAGGGAATTTGTTAGTCAACATCATATATAAAAAGTTACTGTCTGGGTAGGTATCAACAGTACTCTACAGAGGGAAATTGAAAGGTGGAAAAACCTGGAGTGATAGGGTAATCTGGTAGGCACTCACCAGTACAGACCCAATACAGAAAAGGATGAAACCAGGATGGTGTGGGTTCACCAGAAAGAATGGATTCTGAAGGAAGACCTTGGAATATGTATTTACTGAAGCAAGAAAACTGAAGACTTTCACTCTGCCTGGTACCTTCCATGGAAAGATGCAGGTGGATGGGGTGACATGTCTGGGGACTCTAGGGGTAAAATTGGTGGGGCAAAATTTAGTTATTTTAGGTTTGAAAGGAAAATATTCAAATATGTTTAGCAGAGAACTCTACATCTACAGCAGCAGGTCAGGAGAGTGAAGGGGCCCAAGGGAGTCATCAAGGAGGAGCAAAGAGGAGGGATACATGAGACACTGGGTCAGAGAAATGCAAGGAAGGCAGTGGAAAAGCAACATGGGGGGAAGGGAGTAAGGAAAGAAGAAAGGAAAGAAGGAAAGAAGGAAGGATGGAAAGAAGGAAGGAAGGAAGGATGGAAAGAAGGAAGGAAAGAAGAAAGGATAGAAAGAAGGAAGGATAGAAAGAAGGAAGGAAAGACAGAAGAATGAAAAGAGGGAAGGAAGGATGGAAAGAAGGAAGGAAGAAAGGAAAGAAGAAAGAAAGGAAAGAAGGAAACAAAGAAGGAAGGACAATAATGTTGGTAAAATAAAAAAAAAAAAACCTTCCCAGAGGAAGGGTGTTAACAGTTACTAATATTGATAGACAACTAAAATGTGTTCACTGATTAGTGGGGCAATTTGCCACTTTGAATAAAACAACACAGGCACAAATCTGGCTAATAAAGAATGAGCTGGTATGGAAAAACTGCACACAGAAAGCTGATTTCTAAAACTAATCTAAAGATGAAATTAAATCTCCATGCCACTTTTAGTTTGTGAGACCAAAGAGACTATGCCCCAACCAGGAAATTGTCATCAGAAAAGCGGCCCTGGCACCTGACTTCCCAACATGTACTGTATTTTGAGTGTCCTCTCATGCAATACAAAAAGTAACAGCAGGTACAAAAGCTATACTTTGAAAGCAACGAGGCCATGGAGCAATCAGAAAATATTGAAGCTGGGTACACGAAGCTACTGAAACACCAAAAGTAAAGGGAGAGAGAAGCAGAACCCACACCAAAGTGAGATGACTGTGTCCTGATGTAAGCTGGCTAGACAGAATTGGAAAGGCGAAGTGGAAATGATGCCGAGCTTGATCAACTCTTAAAGTGAGTTTTTCATGGGTGAGATGCTGAAGACAAGTGCCTCTATTCCATCTGAGTTAACGGAAATACTTATCCAACTGCTTGTGCAGACTTGGATAAGCTATCAAGCTTCCGTGTCTCCCTTTCACTTACAGTAAAATTTCTTGTTCAATAGTGCCCAAACCAATTTTTATCTTTGGCCTATTAATACTTTGTGGTAATGGGTAACATTCTTGGAAGGTACACCCACAAAAATCAGAGTCAACACACAGTCCTGAGAGTGTTAATATCTAGAGATTGGCAATCATGCCCTTTGTGGTTTCCCGCCGGAATCAAGAATGTCAGGGCTCATTATTTCTATATCATTTCCTCCATTATGTCTCTAGTCCTCACCCCCCCAGCTCACTTGGATTCCAAAACATACTAAACAAATTTATATAGTTTGCTATCTAGTTCTGGTGAAAATGTCCTCAGATAACCTGTCTTTGGAAGCAGGATAAGTAGGAATCCATAATCTGAAGTGGGAGAGAGAACTGCAGGAAGCAAGCAACCAAGAAAAGCAGAAGTGAATGACTCAACACTTTACCCATCTATTTTTGTGCTTAGTGAGCAAGTCACTTGTGTGAACTTGTGGCAATTCTGTGTGCATAATGGGCATTGTCCTCTTTCTAGGAGCTTGCTGTATGAAACGCCATGTACTCTGAGAGGAAGACACATAGCAGGACCTCAGCAAATGGTAACCACTGAGACCACTGTGTCTATGGAGAATGTTCTAGCATGACAGAATGCACTTATCAGCAAAAAAACAATAAAACAAACAAACAAAGAAAACTTCACAGACAGCTAGAAGAAAAAGCACCATTTCACAGTTTTGCTTCTCACTATAGGTATCTAAACCAGGTACAGCAATGATACTAGATTTCAGGTCCATCAGAGCTCTATCTGGACCACCAACAGTGATCACATCAAGACAGGGCTACTCTATCCTACTAGCTATATCTAGGAGAAAGCTGTCTTCTCACCCTTTTCTCATGTGATAAACCACTGGATGGACCTTTACATATCTCTTGAAATTGCTCTAACCCTTTTTTAGTGTATGCTCCGTAAAGGACTATTACATTTCTTGACTCTCAGGAACTTGTTCAACCACCTTGCATTGGACAATGACAGTAGTATTTGCTGAGGTTAGTCACAGTTGACTCATTCTAGAAAGGGCTCTCTAGCTTAGGCAAGCAAGCTTAGAACCAACACTGAATGAAAGACAAAGCAGAGCTATTGACTCCTTGGGCTGGTAGGGCCCATGTCTCGAATGCACAAGGGCATGGATTCTATCCACAGCATTGCAAAAGAAAAGCACAAAAGCTACTAGCTTCGTGCTAAAACTCTGCCGTTGAGTGCTGGTAGAAAATCATAGTAGAGTCAGATTGTGTCAAAGACCCAACCAAGGGGAACAAGTCCATGGAGGACTCAAAATGACAGGCAATAGTAAAAACATTCATAATTGACATAATTGGCTCTCATCACTTCACAGAAATAAAATAGAAAGTTCACACATGGGATGACTTTTTAAATAGTCTATTGGTAAACTTACAGTCGCCTTTGACAGACATTGGGTAATTCTTTCTGTGACTAATTTCTCCCATAATTCAATTTTGCCTAAGAGAATACTGAACCCAGTGCGGAGGCCTTGAGATAACTATGAAAGACAATAAATAAGAATCTGGCTTATTTTGTTTAACCCAATATAGCTTATGGGAATGGAGAAAGGAGAAAAGGTGGTACAATGGAATTCATGTGACATGAAATAAGGGGGGCTACTGGTAGAGAAAGGGTCTATCAAGAAGGTAATGATGAAGGCGGGGCAGAAGGAGAGATAGATGAATAATAATAATGCTTAGTGACAAATATGTATTAAAATGACATAAGGAAATCCATTGCTTTTTATGCCAACTTTAAAAATTAATTAAGGGAGTCTGGAGAGATGGCTTAGTGCTTAAAAGCACTTGGTGCGTTTTCCAGAGGATCCAAGTTCAGTTCCCAGTCCTCATTCTAAGCAGCTCACAAGTGCCTGTAAGGCTAGCTCCAGGGGTCTGATGCCTGCTTCCAGCTTCTGAATGCACTTACAAACATGTGGCATACACTCACAGACACAGACACATAAATAAAAATAAACCTTTAAAATAAACTAAGGAAAAGAAAGAGAATGCAAGAAAAAGCAGGCATCTTCCTTGACCTTAATGAACTTGGATGCTAACAATGACGTTGAATTCTGACCCCTAACCTTTGACTTTCTTCTTTACATAAGCATGGGCTTTAGACTCTCTGGTTTTCATACGCTGGTGGGGAATCACAAGGCAGATTAGCTATAGTTAAGGTGGCATGTAATAAAAAAGAAGTAATTAGCTGAAGTAAAGCTTCAAAGGCTAGACTAATAGAAAGGGGGACGGGAAACCCAAAGAGAAATGGAAGATCCATGGAACAACATTCTACTGAACCCTTTTTCCTCCTCTGAGGGGCCCTGTCCATTCAAAGTGAAGATGGATAACACAGACGTGGAGCTATCTAACCACTGGAACATCAAGGAGGCAGCATACAAAACTAACAGAGGCAAACCACTAAAGAGGGTCAACAACTGTGAGACGGCAAAGCGGTACCCATGTGGAAATGCAGAAGGTGGTACTCATTCATCCCCCCTGCCTTTATCTTTCTCACTCAATTCTCTTAACCTTCTGCACTCCTGATATACTCTATTTTAGTGCTCTAGTTCAGATATTTCATTTTAGTGCTGTCTATACTCCTTTCTACAAAGGTCTAAAAATACCTTCAATTAGACCCCAAGTCTTCCTGAATAGTAGAGGAAATGGGATGAAGTTTGGGGGAAGGGAGGTAGGGGACTAAATTCATTCTATGCTGGATGGAGTTGTGTGTCTGACTCTGTACTATGCACGTAGGAAGGTGCTGAGGACACAGAGGAAATACTTGAGAGCTTTGATTCACTCTAAGAAGAAAAGTGGTATGAGGAAATGGCATGGGATTTAGGCTCTTAGGACTGGGTTCAAATTCCACACATGCTACTAATAGCAAGCTAATCTTAGTATAGTCACTGAACATCCTTTATCTGTTTCATTATCTGTGCAATGGAATAAGATGATCACCTCTACTGGTGGTAAGAGCATCAGTCATTTATCAGGCATTTTCATACTAGCCCTGATGCCCTGGCATTTCTACAAAAGCATTTTATTCCTTTCTCAATAGTTCACATCAGTCTGTGGGTCTTCCTGAGCTGGCTGCTATAAGTTAGAGACAGAGGAGAGCCCAAAATCCAGGAAGGAGGAAAATGCCTCTAAAACTACAGTCAGATCACAACTGAAGGGTTTGTTCTGTATTTGTAGCATGGATACCATTTATTAATTTCTTTTCATTTAGTCAGTCTCCAAGTATTCCATGTGAACCTACAAAGTTGGAACTATACCCACATCTGCCTCATAGCCTTCTGGTAAACACTGCCATTACTCATAAAAACAGTGTGACGTTGGCCATACTTAGGTGTGGTCTAACTTCTAGAAGAAATAAAGATGACATACAGCTCATTTCCAAAGTAAAAAGGGCAACTCACCAATGTGACTAAAGAGGCATATGGTCAAAACTAGGGGGAAATTGGGAATATTTCAATAAGAGCATAGAGTGACAGAGAATGTTCTACAAATTATATCATCTGAAGAACCTGGTTGAAACTTCAGAGGCTGCCAGTGCCTCAGGAGTCTACAGTGGTGCTGAAGAGAAGTAGGAAGCTGTCAGGGAGCCACCTTTCACAACTTCAGTTTTCTTCTTCTTCAAACGTGGCCAGCAAATACAAACACACACTCATTGATCCATTTATCATCTACTAGTTTTTAACCACAAGTTCTAAGATCTTGATAGGGAAAAACTAATTCTGTGGGAATGTTTTCTTTCTACAAAATTAGATGGCACTGTAGTCAACTGAACACCCTTCCGCTGCTCTCAAGTAGATGAGGAGTCTTAAGTCACACAGTCCAAATCTCATTATTACCCAGTGGTCATCTCTTAGACTATGATTATATTTTTTTTTAACTCATTGAAAATGTTAATTCTAGGCAAGGAAAACTCCACAATCTCAACTAGCATTAAAAGTACTTACTGACAAGGAAAGTTGTATTTCTTTGTGGTTGTAGTTTTTGGAAATCCTTTTCTTCAAAGCTTTTACTGCATCTTTTGGCCTATGGTAATAAATACACTGAAATCATCAATTTGGATGTAGAAGCAGTTTCCATGAAAGTAATATGCAATATGGAAATAGGAATGGCATAAGAAAAAAGACTGATGCTTGATTCTGCTGCCACCTTAGGTGGGCCACTTAACTTACCACATCTGAGTGTCCTTGTGTAATAGATAGATCACACCACCTGTCCCCAACCCCCCACCAAGAGATGCAATGAAGATATTTACGTAAGTGTATTACATAGAAAACACTGATCATGAAATGTGTGCACACCAGTTTCTATCAAGGCTCAAAATCAGGCTACAGGAGATGTAACCCTAAAACAACAAAAGAAAAGTGTTCCCTTTAAGATTCTTAGCATTTCCTGACTTATCCTATTGGTAAGGGGATATAGGAGTTACAGCAGTTTACTAATTCCGATCTGCTATAACTTTATGCTAGGAAGATCTGCAAGCAGAGAGTCAAAATTCACATTGTTAGATTTCCCTTTTGCATGATCAATGAAGAGATTGATAACAGTAATGAAAAAGGTTCACAGAGGACCTAAACACAACACAGGGCATATAATACTATAACTGTGGATCTGGGGAGATGCTCAGTGGGTAGAGCATTTGCTGTGTAAAGCTTGAAGACCTGAGTCAGGATCCCCAGGCCCAGGTAAATCTATGGTGGATGGATTACAGCCTGCCTGGTCATTCACATGCTTGCTTAGAAGGTAGAGAGGGACGCTTGGAATAAGCTAGCTAGTCGACTGGCCTTATTGCAGAGCTCTGGGATCAGCTGAGAAACCTTGACTCAACCGATGAGGAGAACAGTTGAAGAAGATCCTTGAGGTCAGCCTCAGGCCTTCACACTAAAGTGTGCTCACCCACATGTGAATACACATGCATTCACGCATACCACATACAGAGACATATTTCAAAAAAAATCTGTAAACTCTTAGACATGTCAACCATAGGCACTTGCCTTTAATATATAACCAATAATTATGTTGCCATGTTTTCTTCACTATCACAAACTAGACTAACTCTTTTTCTATCAATTATCCCTTAAAAATTTCAACAAAAATGAACAAGTTTCACCTTTGATCATAACCCATAGTTGATTAAATTTAAAGAAGTTGTCCTTGTTAAAGACTTTTTCTTTCTTTCTCTTTCTTTTTAATGACTTCCAGCTTAGATAGTGTATCAACACACAGCACATCTTGTACGAGTACAGTATGAACAGGGGTGAGCTGGCATGATGAAGGAAAAGCGCTGTCCCCTGACAGGGAAAGAAAAGACTGTTCATTTGTTTCCTGAATAATCAAGAGAGTTGGTCACCACCGGCCTGGCCACCACCAGAAGCCACCCAGCTCCCAGCTTCGGGATAATGCTTTTGTTACATAAAACACCGGCAATCAGAGTGCGAGAAAGCTCTAAAGGAAGAAACAATTTATCTCTCTCTCTCTCTCTCTCTTTTTAAAATCTTTTTAAAACAGAGAATTTGAGCAAGACAAAGACAAAACGTAAACTAGTAAAGAAAAGGCAAAGGAGGGGACAAGGTCTAATGAACTCTTGGGTACTCCGCATGCTGGAGCAAGGAGTTGTCCCCAGTGTCAGCCCGCTGTCTTCACGAGGTAGGATGTGCCTGAAGGACAGCAAAATGTCCTTTCGAAAAAAAAAAAAAAAAAAGCAAAAAAACAACAACAACAACAAAAAACACCGGAAAGGTGGGCCAGGGAGAACACGCCGCAGTTCTGATGTATCTTCTCAGGGCACACATCACCATGAACTTACCCATCCTGCGTGGTGTTAATTATGTCACAGATGTGCATGAACTGGCCCCAGTCTTCAGTCTGAACTCCAGCAAACGTAGCCTTTTCTGCAAAGATAAAGCTGCTTGTGTTAAGTCTGAGCCACCACAGAATAAAACATATCTTGTCTCCTTGAAATATTCTGCCTGGTGCACTAACAAGTACCATGAAGTCTATGCTACCAAAGGGTAAAGTGATTTTTCCCCCTCCTAAACCATTCCCAGTTACTCAGGAATCAATCAGAAGTCAAGTTCCGAGGGCTGCTGTTGCAACAGTAATGAGTGAGCCATTAAGAAAGCCTACAACAGCTGGCCATAGGGCCAAAACAGACCAGTTAAATCTCTATCCTCCAGGCTCTTTCAGAAGACAGAATTTCAGATCTGTGGCATCCTGGGTAGTCACGGGCAAGGTGGACTACACATTGAAGGAGCTTTAGCCAACCTAGGCCTGCCTTGCCAGTCTTGCCCTCCTCCCTCATTCCCTCTATCTTGCTAAAAACCACTAAACTACATTCCTAAAGCTAGCCACCAAGGTCTATTCCCTTATTTGGCCACTTCCTTCTCCTGAGGCTGACTACCAAGGTCCAGTTATCAAAGTATTGGAAGTCCAGTAATCAGAATCTTTCTTTGGCTTACCTAATTAAATGCCCAATTAAAATCAAACACCTCATGCTAACCAGCGATGTACCTTTATAAACCGCCATTTTCCTATGTGCCACGTCTGTCTCCTCTCTATCCAGAGGCAGTCTTTTATCCCTCCGGGACAAATACCCCTTTCCTCCTTCCCTTGTTCCCTTCCCCTTCTCCCTCGTCCTCTATCTCCTGTCTTTGTCTCTTATTTCCTGACCTCTGTCCCTCTAGGGCACGTAAATCTCCTTGGTGCTGAGAACTTGGTCTTGGGGGTCCTGAGCCAATACTTTTCCTTCCACACATCACTCTTTTCTCATTTAACCCAGGTACAAATGATGAAAGATTTTCGAAGACAGTAAAGAAATGACCCAAGGTCACGTACGTATCAAATAGAACTTGCATTCAAATCAAGGTTATTTGATTCCACTGTTTGTATTTTTAAATTATTTAAAATAAAGTATTTGGTGGGGGAATAAGAAAAAAAAAAAAAGGAAAACCCAGCACAGTAACTGAGCAAGATGGCTTCTGGCATCAAAGTTATGGCAGGCAGATTTACACACTCACACCCTTGACATTCCCTTCTCTAGCCAGCCTCTTTAAGAACACAGAACGAGGGTTGGACAACCTCTAACACAGTGGTTCTCAACCTTCCTAGTGCTTTAACACACTTCTGCATGTTGTGGTGAGCCACAACCATGAAAATGTTTTCGTTGCTACTCCATAACTCTAATTTTGCTACTGTTATGAACGGAAATGCAAATAGCTGTGTTTCTGGATGGTCTTTGGCCACCCCTGTGAAAGGGAGGTTGGACTCCAAAGGGGTCGTGACCCACAGGTTGAGAACTACCGTTCCACTGTCAGTGTGTTTATTGGCTTCTATGGCAAAGATCCCCAAGCATAGTGTGACACTTGAATTTGGCTCTGAATGGACAAAACTGAGCAATCTTGCCTGTGTTGTTAGGCACACATTATTCTTCCATCTGCCAGATACTTCCTCCTCCTTTCCTAAAGAACTATTCACTCTTCAAAGGCTCAGTTCGTTTTTCCCTTTTCATAAGTTTTGCATGCCTTAAGTGTTTTCTAGGGTTTTTTTGTTTTTCGAGACAGGGTTTCTCTGTGTAGCTTTTGTGCCTTTCCTGGAACTCACTCTGTAGACCAGGCAGGCCTCGAACTCACAGAGATCCGCCTCGTTCTGCCTCCCAAGTGCTGGGATTAAAGGCGTGCGCCACCACCGCCCGGCGTGTTTTCTAGTTTTGTAAAGGTTCTTATGGTGGTTACTACAAAATATGTCCATCTTCCTTATAAGCAAGTGAGTTCCCTGAAGGTAGAGACTGCCTTCCTGAAGGTAGTTCTAAATGTTTACAGAACTAAAGGATAATTTGATAATTGCTGGAGTTTCTTTTGTTTGTGACGATTCAGTGTGGATCTGCTTCTTCTCAGGACTCATTCTAATACACACTATCAAGCTAGGAGATGGGCAATGAAGAGAGGGTTTTTCCTCAAGGGCAGCGCTCTTCCCGTATTTTGAAGATGTGGAGACACAGGTTTAAGTTCCAGAACGTCCCCTGTCCCTACAGCAGTTAACTTACCCTCAGCCTCAACTCTCTGAATCTAAGCCCTCCTTACAAATACCAGGTCCTTAAGATTTCATCACCCTATTAAGTTCCAGACAGTTTGCCTGTCATTAATACGTTCTGGTGCCACACCCTGCCCTCAGAAGAAAGAATGGGTCTGAGGTGGCAAAAAGCCAAGTGTCGTCAGTGGCTTCGGCGTTGTCCACCTCTAGTTCGGAGCACAAGCACACGGGAGAAAAGAGGGCAGTGCTGGGTTGGAGGGCGAAGCTTGAGGGCCCCTGTGACTCCAGATGGCCCCTCTCCCTGTCCTCAGCACCACCAACAAGCGCTTTCAATCTCTGTGTTTATGCAAAAGGCCACCCAGACCGCTTGAGCTGAGCGCTGGAGAAAATTGCTTTGGAGAAACCTGCCTCTCCAGGTGAGGTCACGCTAATTTGCTTCTCTGAGCCTTCTCCTCCTGGTCTGTAAAATGGGCAGAACAATAAAGTGCTGGGAGTGGACGCACTTTATGAAGAACCTTCCCCGGGTCAAGAAGTTTCCACTTTCTCCTCCCAGCGGCCCCAACACTCCACACAGTGCTGCGGGTCACCTGCTTGGCTCCACTCGCCCAACTGATATCCAGAGGAAGATTTTGCATTTTTTTTTTTTTTCCAGAGAGGTCCTGGTATAAGTGAACCAAGAAAGAAAGATGGACAGCTGCCTCAGGTGGCACACAGGTGGCGTGGGAAAGCTGCGGGGGAGGGTAGCATTTTCCTCCAACTTGGTCCAACTCGGCCCCCCAACAGTCGAGAATGGAGTCGAACGGGCAAAGCTCCCACGGTCCCCAGAGCCAGCCCGGATGTTGCTCCCCGCGCCTCCTTACCTACGAGGTGACCCACGGAGGTAGCGTAGGGATCGCGGTGACTCTTCCCAAACGCCATGGTAGCTCCAGAGAGCCCTCCCAGGAAATCCGCCTCCACGGCCCTCCGACTGGCGACTCCACCCGCCCGGTGCCCGAGGCTCCTCCTCTCCGCTCCAGCGCTTCGCCGCCGCTGCGAGGCGCCAGGCAGCTCGCCCGGCGGGCGGGCGGGGACCCCGGGGACTTGGCGCACCTGCTGCGCGCGCCTGGCGCTTGCCGCTCCGCGTGACCCTAGGTGGGCTGAGAGCCCGGGTGGAGCTGTTTGACCTCGTACCCCAAGCCTGGGAACTCGGAGCCCAGCTCCAGTGTCTCCAGTTGAAGGCTGAAGATCGTTCCTCGTGCTTTGGAGACTAGGCAGTGTGGGGTTGGTTGCAAATGCAGCTGAGGAGTGTTGGTAGGGTTAATGGAAAGCTATATGACCTCTCAGGTCACCGTCACACACCTCCAGAACAATGAGACTTCGCCTATTCCCTGAACCGATTTTTGCGCCCTGCGCTTTAAATCTACGGAATTGGGAGGAGGATGGGCTGTCTATGAGAGCGACGGCCTCCCTGGAGCCTAGGCTCTTTGTTTCTCTCCTGTTTCCAAGAGGGACCACGGGGCGCCGCCACACAAGCTCTTGGCTCCTAACTCCATCTCCTAGGAGCCCTGCTTTCCAGCCTCCTGGTGAAAGGAGAGTGGGGCTTTCCTGGGGCTCTGGCAGGAAATATGTTTGGAATGTAAATCCACATTAAGGAACCAAACTCCTTTGTAGCTTCTCTATTGGAGTCAAGATTTCTTTTTCCTTTTTGCTCGGCTAACATCAGACAAACCAGCCTCCTATCTGTAGAATGCCTTCTGAGAGACTGGGCTTCTCTGCTCTTGGTAAATTTTGCTTCCTGTGGCTAACTGGAACTCAGCTCCACATATATAGTGGGTATATTTCCCCCCTGAAAATGGTGACTCGGAAGAGCGAGAGGACCTAGCATGACTCATGTTTTGGTCTTATATATTTTAGCATAGATGCCAAAACCAATTACATTGTGCTCTAAGTGGCTAGCATCTCTTTTATTGACCTCAAATCTTCTTCCGCCTCCTCATTCTCCTCCTGAGTGAGTTAACACCGATATTTTACAATCTAAAACACAGCATTTTTGTTGTGATAATATTTCTCAGAATGAGGTTGGTCTTAACTGAAATAGGACGTGGTTATCAGGCTCACTAGCTGTTTCGTGTGATGCCATTTATCCATTCCCGTAGTCAAGTCGTCATTACAACCGAGGTTGAAAACCTCTGTTGGTGATATCAGCCTGATCTCTGTTTCATGTTATAGTCGTGGGTAAATCATCTGCCTTCACTGCCGTGTGCACTGGGGCGGTATTAGGGAGAAGGTCAACTTTGGCACTAGCTCAAATGCTGATGACCCTTTACAGGGAACAAGAAGTAGGAAGGAGCTGCGTACCCCCCCCCCCCATCATTTACAGCCTACTTCTACCGAGAGGGGGGTTAGGCTTTCCGTTCCCTCTGTCTGATTTCCTTACATGGCAAAACTGAGAGAGCACAGGAAGAAGAGTAGCGAGGAGTGTGCCCTGGACACCGAATGGCTGATGATTACCACCTGCGTTCCCTCCCTGCACAGACACTGCCCCCCGCCCCCCGCCCCCAGGATGCTGTGACGGCTGTAACCATTTCTTTCTGTGCTCTGTGACTTTCTTCACCATCCCACTCGTCCCCAGAAGTGAATATCGACCCAATTAGTGTTACTGAGGTCTAGGAGAAGGATATTAGAAGTCACAGCCAAGTTGAGGTCAAAAAAGGAGCATAATTCTAGACAAAAATAGGGATTAAATACCTGGATACCACTGGTCTGGAGAAGGGACTCAGTGGCTAAGAGCACTGGTTGCTCTTCCAGAGAACCAGGGTTTGATTCCCAGCCCTCATCTGGTGCTCACAGCCATAGGTAACTCAGGTTCCAGGGGATCTGACACTCTCTTCTGGCCTGCATGGGCACCAGGTACACACATGCACACACGTGGTGCCCAGACACACATGCAGGCAAAATACTCATGCACATAAAATAAAATGAAGTTTAAGGAAATGAATAAATGAATACCAGGAGCCCAAACCTTACTAAGATCTCTTCCAAAGCATTTTTTAATTATGTGTGTATGTATGGTGTATGTGTGTGGGTATGCAGGCACATAAGTACTGTGTGTATGCGTGTGTTGGTCAGAGGACAACCTCAGAGTTTCGTTGTTGTTGGCATTGTCTGAAGCCTCATAAGCCAGGCCAACTAGTCCAGGAGCTTCTAGGAAATTTTGTCTCTGCCTCCCACCTTACTGTCGGATCACCGGGGGGGATTACTGATGCCCACTTACCGCACCCAAGAGTACATGGCTTTTGAAGATTCCAACTCAATTCCTCATACTTGTAGTGGTAAACCCTCTCTCCAGCCCTGCTGACCATTTAAGTGTGTATACGTCATGATGCTAGGTGAAAGTGAGCAAGATACTGCTTTTCAAAATGTGTTTAATGCCTGCAACTGAAAACCTTACATTATTGTGGTATGGAAAGTAGTGTACACTTCATTTTTATAAATAAGCTGAGATTCAGGAAGATAGAGCTGTTAAATGGCTTGGCTACATTTTGAGCCATGGCTTTCTGAGTCTGGAGCCTATATGACTGCCAACATTTGAAGTTGATGACTGAGTGTGACATTCTACTCGGTAAAGGATTCTGTTTGAGTCAAAGTAAGACCTTGACGAATGAGGCAGTCTACTTCACTGGCACAGAGTTCTGCTTTTTTTTTTCTTTCTGTGCTTGCTCAAGAATCTTAGTGTGTTTTTGCTAGTACCATAAATTAGATGTGTTCTCTATTCATTACATGATTAATCCCATAGTAAGCATGAAACCAGATTTTACAGATTAAAATAATTACTACAGATAATTTTTCACACAGTCACACTGCTAGTGAAAAACCAACAGACTCCAGATTCTGTGACTTTAACCACCATGCTATACCACCCTTTCATGGTCCTGGATGATAGGCAATGCACACACATTGTAAAGAGCAGATTCTGGGGGAAGGTACTTGCAGAATGTCGAGATCTGAGTTAATTCCATCCGCGATTCTGTTTCTTACCCCTGAAAATTTTAGATGATCAGAGCTAGATAAGGCTTTGGAACTCACACTGTCTCTGTTACCAGCATTTTAGAGTGACATCCAATGAAAATGGATGGCTGGCTCAAGGCTGTCCCACTCCAGACTGGGATGACACAACATAGTTTAAGGTTAAAATGTCCATTCTTCCTCTTTGTTTTAGTATTTAAATGTGAAACTCCAACCCCTACCCCGGTCTCTCTAGTAGCTTCTACAGCTTTCTCTTTCCCATTTGGATGAGTTCAGTCCCAAGCATTACCCACCCGTTCCCAATTATGCTTCTATGGAAGCTGACTTCTGCAGCCCTGTGATAGGGCTTTATCTTTATCTCTGTGAGAGATCTTCCTTCTTTCCCCCAGGGCACAGCTCCTCCCTATCTTTCTTCTCTGCTGTTTCCCAACCACCTTCACCTGGTTCCATTTCCCTCTCTGCTGTGCTAAACCTAAGCTTCCACATCTTTCCACAGCCCGGGCTTCCTCTTTCTCCATGTCCCTCCACCATATTCTCCTTTTCCATTCTTCAACTGAGCCTTTTCTGACCACTCCCATGAGAATTGAGCGTTTCTTTCCTGCCCTAAGCATGTTTCTTCTTTGGAACCTACAACAGTTTATGATAGCTGATTGTTCAGAAATTGTCTTCTCTGCCTTCTAAATATAATTCCCTGTGGGGAATAGGACTATGTGTGTTGGGTGGTGCATCCTGTCACTCAACAAACTGGAAGAGATATATATTGAATGTATGAATACCCCTTTAAAATCTTAAGCAGCTCTGCTCTTCCTTAGATCCGGTCTCTTATTCCCCTCCCCCACCCCCACACATCCTGGATGGCTTGGAAACTGACCTCAGTGTGACTAGAATTATACTTAACCCCTTCCTCCACCATCTATAGCCGACTGTCTTGTCTTTTGACTGTACCAGTTATTCTCAAATTCAATGCACCATCTGGGGGCAAAGAGTGTTGATGCATGCATGAGTCCACCCCCAGACTTCTGCATTTAACTTGTCTTGGGTATAAAGGGCATCAGGATAGACATTTAAGTGTCCTCAGTTGACACCGCAATTTCCCAAACAGGAGATCTTGGGCATTGTCTCTGTCATTTAATCAGTTCTGGATTTCTCTGTGTCTTAAGCCACCTCATTTTCTGCCTGTTTGTTTTTTCCCATGGGCTATACTCTTCACTCCAGCAGTTCTTTGATGTCATAAGTCTGTTCAGGGATAAAATTAAGTCTAAGTTTTCATGAACCCAACCAGGGCCTCGTGAATCTAATGGAATATTATTTCTCCTTAATAGTAACATTTTTTTCACAACAAATCTTGCCCACTATTTTTGAAACTCACACACACACACACATATACACACACATACATATGTTTATATATATTTATGTATATATATATATATATACACACATATATATTGTTTCCAGTGATTTTTAACAATGCTACAATTTTATAATTCCTGATTATAGAAAATGAAGTTCAGATAAAAGCTTTTCTACTCTTTCTTCTTCTGGAATAGCTATCAGGTTCATGAAGAGGCTCTCTCCCTCCACATCTTCCTTCAGGGCCATTTTTCTCTATTTCTATGGCACTTAGGCTGAACCCAGAGACCCAGGATGAGAAGGGAAAAGTCTCAGGAACAAGAAAAGCAGCTGGCACTTAATTTCTTCTGACACAGTCCAGAGGGCTTTGGCTTTTCCGGTAGCACTCCAGATGATTTTATAATCATTCCTATTTTATTGATTTTCCTAAAGTCACTTAGAATTGGGAGGAGAATTCAAAATGTCCTCATTTCAAAGCTTGGCTCATTTTCCATCACACCATAACCTCCTGCTGCCAAAGGATTCTGCCCTTGATCTTGGAAAGCATCTGCAGCATTGGGCCCAGGAGTCCTCATTCATAAATGCAAAGAAGTGTGTTGACTGATTTTAAATCTTTGCCCCTCCCACAACCATT